GCTCTGCGGTCAAGCTCCAGGTCGTTAAGACCAACATTAACCCACTTTCTTTTTCAGGTTCCTCAAAAAATACCCTTCCGGGAAGTGATATCAGCCCTCAAACCCGTAACAGCACATAAGACCAAGTTGGTCACATTCAAATCCTTCCTACACCTCCTAATAACTCTCTTATCTCCACGACTAACCCTCCTCACGTCCATTTATCACCTCGCACCGCTAGTGCAAACGATCCGAGTACGCGGAATGCTATTCCTGGTCTACTGAAACCACGCTCTAAACTACACGTAGGAGCTTTTAACGTTCGAACACTGTGCCAAATAGGACAACATGCTTCCTTAGCTAGGACTTTAGAATCTCAAGCCATCGATGCGTGCTGCGTCTCCGAAACGCGCATACAGGATCCAAGTAGCGTCATTCTGTTAGGATGATCGGAAAAATATACCAATAATTATCGGGTTAAGTTTAATGGTGTCCTTGGACGTTAAATGGACATTCCCTATTGGTCGATATTTATTTCACTTGTTAAATATTGTACAAATGTTGTTTTCTATTTTATGGTACGATGTGGTTTGTTTGTTAGGTATATAAACAGAGTATGTCTGAAATATAACGATTCATATCGCAGAGGCTAAGACTTGCGTTCTGGACTCAACTGGCTGGGATAGACAGGGGAGCGGGACCAATCAGAACCCTAGACTGTCCTTACGTGTTTTTCCGTTTCACTGTAATCGATCGATAAATACGCTGCTCCATAATCAGCAGTCAACCCGTCACAACACATTCATTTGACCTCATCATGTCAAAGTAACGAACCGACTCGATTCACGCTTCGTGTATCTGGAAGCCCTGATGCTGCTCCCCGTGGCCTCACCGGCGTAGGTTTAGCATTGAGTCCTAGGGAAGAACTAGCTCTCTTAGACTGGATCCCAGTAGACAGTCGTTTGTGCGCTGTCCGACTAAACGGAACACAAAGAACTCGAGAAGATAGGGACACTCGTCGTTGCCTCTTCATCGTCTCTGACTACTCTCCCACTGACTGTAGCTCAGATAATGTAAAAGATGAGTTTTACACAAAGCTTTCCAACCTTCTCCGAAAAGCTAGGCGCTCTGATGTAGTAATAGTGGCTGGTGACTTTAATTCTCAAGTAGTTAAACTAAGCGCAAAGGGAAGGACACCTGAGTGGATCTTATGGTGTTGTGGCTCAAAGAACACATAATGGCGACCGTCTGTTGCAACTATGCTCAGATAACCGCCTGTTTCTCGCAAACACTAACTTTAAGCATAAGGAAAAACATTCGTCCCAACGTTGGACCCAAACAGATCACACCGCTATCAGTCACCGATCGACGGGCTCGATAGAAGACTGTCGCTCGTTCTGAAGCACATGCTTAGATTCGGATCATGCTCTATTGTAAGCGCGTATTTGCTTGCGTCTTATTGGACGTAGGAAAGATGCTGCAAGGAAATCTCTTAGGACCCTACTTAATGATAGTCAAGCTAAGAATCTATTTCAGGAACAATTAGAAAAACAGCTGGGCAGCCATGTATGTGATGCCTACCCCGAGGCAACGTGGAATGACATCCGAAAAGCTGTAGAAACAGCAGTAATATCTGCTAGTACGGTAAACCATAAGATTAGGAAGAAACATTAGATCTCAGCAGCATCTACCGCACTGATAGATGCTCGAAAACTCATTCCATCTGGCTCTGAACATAACGAAGAGCGGAGTCAGCTTAAGCGCAAGTTGACAAGAAGCCTACGCAATGATCGTGAACAATGATGGGTAGCGAAATCAAGAGAGATGGAAAAGGCAGCGGCAATAGGTAACAGCAGACAACTGTTCAGACTCGTCAAGGAAATCAGTATTAGGAACCCAACTGTTAGCGAAACAATCTCAGAGAAAAATGGACATATTATTCATTCTGTTGAGTCGGCTTTCAGAGAACTTCAACGGAGCCTCCAGAGGCCCAAAAGGAGCCGAAAAGTCCTAGCCAATCAGAGCATGATGGAGCACCCTAGAATTCCAACGTAGCGTGCTACTATTGGTCAGTAGCATATGTCGTTAACGGATTGGCTGAAATATGATGTTGATATAACAAACGTTAACATCTACAAATACCCATGTTTTCTGTACAAAAACGAACCTTGGAGTTAAGTGTCTCTCTCATACTTTGCGTCTTCTTTCTGGTGTTCAGGTCGCTGTATAGTTCTAGCGTGCGGGTTATCACAATAGCTTAGGAACAAATGTAGCGTCCAATCAACAAGACTTAACACTATCAATCCAGGAGATTGGATAGATGGGCAGAACACTTTAGGGATCAGTTCAACTGGCCTTCAGCCACACTTCGGTTTCCCACGATCTCCAGTCAACCTGAATGACAAGTTAGTCTAAGTCCGCCAACTCTTTACGAAGTTGAAAAACCTATAGGAAATCTGAAGCGTGGGAGAGCAGCAGGCCCTGACAGGTTTACTCCTGAGATTTTTAAGGATGACGGTCCAGTACTATCAGTGAGATTAACTGAGGTCTTAGGTAGAATTTGGGAACTGGACGTAATCCCATCTGACTGGTCTCAATCATTGATTGTGCCAGTCTGTAAGAAAGGACAAAAGTCCTCTTGTGACTATCACAGAGGAATCAGTTTGACTAATATAGTGTCTAAACTATTAGCTTCAATAACACTTCGACGCCTAACTAAAGCTCGTGAAGAGCAGACAAGAGAAAACTAAGCTGGTTTTCGACCTGGACTTGATTGTATAGACCAAATATTCACACAATGTCAAATCCTAGAACATAGACACACATTCAGACGCCCCACAATCGTAGTATTTCTCGACATTAATGCAGCGTTCGACTCTGTTGATCGTAAGCTTCTATGGCAGTGTTTGTGACTGAAAGGAGTACCAAAGAAGTACATTAACCTTGTCAAGGCTCTCTACTCGAACACAACTGGTAGAGTGAGAGCTTATGGCGAACTGTCATCAGAATTGATTACTTCAAATTGTGTTCGTCAGGGTTGTTCACTCTCCCCATTCTTGTTTAACTTTGTCGTTGACTTACTTTTAGAGATGACACTTTCCTCATCTAAATTTCCAGGAGTTGAACTTCTACCGGGAGATCCACCTTTTCACCTAGAATATGCAGATGACATAGTTTTATTTGGTGAAGACACTGACAAAATGCAGTCTTCTTATCACCACATAAGCAACAATGCATGTTCGGGATGCGATTCTCTCCCTCGAAATGCAAAGTGTTGCTTCAGGATTGGGTGGCATCGACATCCAAACTAATGATAGGGAGTGAAGTAGTTGAGCGTGCCCACCGCTTCACTTATCTTAGAAGTCTCATCAGCTCTTGTGGTCTGGTGTGTGATAAAATCTCAGCACGGATACAGAAGGCTCGACTAGCTTTTGCCAACTTGCATCATTTATGGCGTGGGTGAGATATCCGTCCATCAACCAAAGGACGAGTTTACTGTGCAGCAGTTCGTTCCGTCCTACTTTTTGGCAGTGAAACGTGGCCGGTAAGAGTAGAGGATATTCGTAGGTTACTAGTATTCAATCATAGGTGTCTTCGAAACATTGCTCGTATATCCTGGGACCATCGAGTAAGTAACGCAGTTGTTAGGAAACGGATACTAAGTAAGGATGGCAGACCAATTGATGAGGTAGTGAAACTTCATCAGTTGAGATGGCTGGGACACGTGATACGTATGCCCAACCACCGACTACCCCGACATGCGATGTTCGATGGTATAGGAGTAGGTTGGAAGAAAGCTAAGGGCGGCCAGACCAAAACATGGCACAAGTCCATGAAGTCACTGACAAGTGGGCTGAGCCATGTTGGTAGGTGTAGACTACCTGGGGACTGCGAGATGATAGCAACAGATGGTAAGAGACCCTGGATGACATGGCTCAAAATCGTTTGCAATGGCGCAGGTGAATACACTCTTTGTGTTCTCTCAAATTCTAATCTTCTGAATTCTTCATGTCCCATTTTTTTCCTCTTTCCAAATTTATTTCACTATATTATACACTTTGAATAACATCTTCAAACCCTAATCTTTCCAATTACTGCTTATAATCTTACTACATCTACCACTACGGGATTTGAATGAATTGCATCTCTGTGCTAATGTGGTATGGCAACTCGAACTGATGTACGTACGTACGAAGTTCTACGTTGTTACTGACCAACTGACTGACTATTCATTCAACTGACCAGTATCAAGCTTACATTTAGGTTAATAAGTGTAAGTAATTGTTATTCTATCATTTAGAAATTGTTTAATAATCTAGATAAAATGACTCTTTCCTAAAAGAATCACCTAGAAGTTTGGTGACTATGGTCATCATTATAATGGTAATCAATATTAATTCTAGACATATTTTTAAACACAGTGCGAGCGAACTTACAGAAAAGTGATCCGGCGGACAATGTTGGTCGCAAAACGCACTCTTTCGGATTCCTAGATCTCCAGGATCATCTGTGTGCTCGATTTTCATGTACAATCCAGCATGTTGTGCACATGTCACATGAAATGCGCGATAACAACTAGATTTATGACACTGTATACAAGCACCAACATTGCGTTGTTTACAAATGAAACACTGAAGACGCCATCTACAGAAAATGAAGATTATTATTGATGTAAACAAATTAAAAGCTTCAATCCAATACAAAAATACAACTGAACGCACTTATGTTAATAAATCTGTTATCTCATCTTAAATTCCGAGGTAGACAAATTAGGAACTACTTCTAAATTTGAATATATTACAGAAGAAACATTCAGTTAGTTGTCATAACTCTGTTTCTTCTTACGGTTAATGACCCAGCTATTCCTATTGCTTAGTATTCTCGGACACCGATTCACTCGACAAGTCCCTAAATCAGAACACGGTTGAACAGGAAAGAGATTATATTCCAAATAGCAAGTCAGAAGCACAATAGGGGAAAACGTCGGTATATTTATAGTTTTTACATAAGAAGATTCCAGAGTATTCTCCGACTATCGACTAGTGCTGATTGGATAAGAATCAGCCAATCAGCGTGCACCAAAGCAATCATGCATTGAGCATGCTTTAATCCAGTCTATGTCCCGCTAACACCTCCCCTCTGAGCAGATTCGTAGGATCTGGTGCTAGGGTCCAACTGCAACTGAGTGACTGGCTTGTGCTCTCGATTAGTTCATCGTCTAAGCAATAAAGAATTATCACTTTTTTCTTGCACAGAAACTGACGTGTCTGTTCCCGGCGTTTTGATTTTTTTTAAAAAGTATGCATAAATTTTAATTGTCCAACATTCTCCTCCTCCGCGAAACAATGTCGGATCCTTATATCTCCAAGTTACAAATAACAGGACTTTATTTAAACGATGTTTCTTGCATTGAATGTCGGATCCACTAGAAATGACTAGATGATAATGAACAACCTTTGATTTGAGGTCAGGGTTTAATTCTACTGAAGCAATACTTTCAAATCCATTAGGAATTTCATCAGTGGATAATGGATCATTACGGAAATCAACATTTAACAAAATTAAATTAGACTTTTGATCATAATTTGACTCAGCCGACATATTTTCCTCATTTTTATAAGAAATTTCATCAAAATTACATGCATTATTCGGAGAACCCATATCTGATACATTGTCATTAGAAATCGGATAAGCTGATTCAATATATATTTCTATCTCACAATGATTTTGAGTAACATTCAGTATATTTGGGTTCATCGTGTCAGTGCAGTTATTTTCTGAATACGAGTCCCCATAGCTTTTTCGGCTAATATCACGTGGACCATAATTTTGTTCCAGCTGAAGTTTATTTTCAGGGCTAGACAGGACCAGTAGTGTTCCATTCAATTCTGGACTCCGGGCTTCATCTACAGGGTCTGGCTCTTGATCATCTTGTATTGCCACAACTTTATGAGCATTCAGCACAGTATTTTCTTGCTGTGAGCCGGACACGTTACAAATATTACGTTCTGATTCAGGTATAAAGGGATTTGAACCCTCCACTAGATATGCTTCTGAAATGTCTGTTACTGCATCATAAACAGATTTTTTATTTTCTGGTCGAGTGAAAAGTGTGCTCAATAGTTGTTGTTGCAAGGCTAACAACTTCTGCTGGTGCTGTAATATTAACCGCAACTGTTCTAAAGAAGTCGCCATTTTTCTTTAGTTCTTCCCCGTCACCACTGTTATAACCTCTTTCTTCTTACAGGTTATGACCCAGCTATTCCTATTGCTTAGTATTCTCGGACACCGATTCACTCGACAAGACCCCAAATCAGAACACTGTTGAACAGGAAAGAGATTATATTCCAAATAGCAAGTCAGAAGCACAATAGGGGAAAACGTCGGTATATTTATAGTTTTTACATAAGAAGATTCCAGAGTATTCTCCGACTATCGACTAGTGCTGATTGGATAAGAATCAGCCAATCAGCGTGCACCAAAGCAATCATGCATTGAGCATGCTTTAATCCAGTCTATGTCCCGCTAACATTAGTCCTATTGAGCAATGCTACCTTCCTTCCTAAAAATTTATTTAAAAAATCCTTATTGAAGCTGTAGGTCATTAAACTAGACCTTTAGTCAGCATATCTAGTTTACCAATACTAATACATACTTACTTACGCCTGTTATCCCTTGTGGAGGAGCATAGACCAACCACCGGCATTCCCCATCCAAATCTGTCCTGGGCAATCCTTTCCGGTTGCTTTTCATCATTTTCATGTCTGCTTCCAATTCCCGACGCAGTGTATTTTTTGGCCTTACTCTTTTCTATTTCCCTTCAGGATTCCAAGTTAGCGCTTGCCTAGAGATACAATCTGATGATTTCCTCAATGTGTGTCCTATCCGCTTTCAACGTCTTTACCTAATTTCCTCTTCAGTTGGAAGGTGGTTTGTTATCACCCACAGTAGGCTGTTGCTGATGGTATCCGGTCAACGGACATCCAGTATCACAAGTAAACAACCGTTTATAAATGCCTGTACCCTCTTGATGATGTTTGTGGTAGCTCTCCTCTTTTCAGCCGTGTATAGTAGAGCTGTCTTGACGTTCGTACTGAAAATTCTCACATTGATGTTGGTTGAGTTATTTTGAGTTCTAAACATTCTTCAGTCATAGGAATCCGGCCCTTGCTTTGCCCTTACATCTGCCTCAGATCATCCTTGTTCATCGATGATGTTTACCAGGTACGTGAGTTTCCATATCTTCCAGAGTTTCTTCATCAAGCTTGACTGTGTCGGTGTTCTCCGTGTTGTATTTCAGGATCTTACTTTTCCCCTTGTGTATGTTGAGGCCTACTGATGCAGAGACTGCTGCTACACTGGCAGTCTTCGCCTACATTTGTTATTGTGTATTAGATAGAAGGGCCAGGTCATCTGTGAAGTCCAAATCGTTTAGTTGCATCTAACCTGTTCATTGTATTAGCCCCCAAATGCCTTGGTACGGCAGAGAGTGGTAAGAGTCTGCTCTTCCTCTCGAAATGCTCTCATATGGCCACGCGTATACAGCCTCTGCCAGGGAAGTCCTACTCATTGCCTTCTCGTGGCGGGGGTGTTGTTTACGAAAATAAGAGGACGAAAAGCGAATGTCCGGCTCTTTAACCGGGTTGGTGGACATGGAGAGTCCATCTAGGGAAGTTGGAAAACCCTGATTCCAAATCAATGGTGCACGTGGGCTTCAGTATCCTGAAGGATCAAGTGGCGTATAAACCAATCGTTGGTCACCGGCTACCATGGGACCACATCTCCTCACGATACTTCACTGCCTTGTGGATCAGACCTTTGGGTCGAAGGCTCCGGGTGTGGCCCCCTAAGAAAACTACCTGCTTCGGTTTGGGCACCCGGGCAGTATCACAGCCCTCACACATATCAAATGAGATTTGTGTGGCGCATATGTATTTGGTGCCTCATTGTACCAATATCTATGTGTTAAAATAAATAAATAATAAAATTGTATTCCGTGCGTCCCCTTATATGTCGAGGTCTTGATAATCCAGTCAACTACCAGAACAAATAGAAAGTATGGGAGTAAGCAGCCTTGTCTGACTCCGGTCCTCACTTGGAATGCATCTATCAGCTGTCCTCCATGCACCACTTTGCAGTGTAGTCCGAAGTATGAATTCCGTATTATTTTGACGATCTCAGGTACACCATAGTGTCGAAAAAGGCTTCACAAGGTTCTCCTATCTACACCACCAAACGCTTCCTCATAATCAAGGAAGCTGATGTATAGTGACGAGTTCCATGAAGATGATCGTTCGACGATAATCCGTAGTGTTGCGATTTGGTCTGTGCACGAACGATCCTTACAGAACGCGGCCTGTTGATTATTAACACATAATGAAATAATTTTCCATGTTTAAGAAAACTACGGCCAAGAAATTGTTCGATTTAAAATCAAGATTACGTGAAATGGAAGTAACAAATCTGATATTATTGTCAAAAAGCCAAATCTCTACTAACGAAATCCAAAGACTGAAATAACAGTAAGGGAAAAGTATCATAAGCTTTTATCTAACAACAACACATATTGTAAGCTAAACACAATCAATCCAGTGAAACCATACAGTTTCAATTGCATAGACTAGCAAGATTTGCTGCATAATTTGTAAAATGTTAAGTTGTTCAAAGTATTAAATTGAAATTAATAGTGCAACTTTGTGAAACTAAGATTCTTTATTAACCGGTACAAATTGCAAACCATGGTTATAGAGTGAGAAACTGAAAATTAAAAGATTGAAAAGTGAAAGTAGAACACAAAATAAAGAGATGAAGAGTTAAATGATAATTAAGAGTAAGGACTTACGTGTAACGGTAACGAGTGACGGCAATTTATGGTTTAACACTGGCCATACCGCTAAACTTAATATATTGAACGAAACGAAAGAGATTTGTGTGAAAGGAGTGACAAATAAACTTTCAAGAAGTTCTGGCTTTTTCAAATCTTGTATATTTCTTAGAGAACTTTAATGCCAATAATAGAGCTAAGAGTGCTATATTATAAGCTAATATTTCCTAATTCTTCATCGTCAATACAAGACAAGACCACTTAAAATCTTCACTACTTGTAAAAATCATCATATTATCACCATAATCCATTATGACGAATATCCGTTACAAATACCTAATTCAATTTAATTATTCATCTTACGACATTAGTCTTGATAAGACAATTCTTTTCAACTGGCATTAACTGTATGATAAAGTACGAAGAGAATATAGATATTAGCAGTGTAGCTCAAATAAGAAGTGAAAACTCACTCAACATGTCAAGGTAACAATATCGGTAGAGAAGTATCCATAATAATAAAAATCAAGTCAACAATAATAAATAATGCATTTCCACAAGTTCACTTATGACTAAAAATCAACATGTTAACTTGTATACTAAACCAACCTGGCTGTGGCAATTCTGTCGATGCCTTCCAGAGGTTCAAGGAATGTCAGATTAGCAAACATCACTTCAGGTACCCATAACCCACATATGACATGAGCCCATCGGTCATCTGTAGTCTTTTTGAAGGCACCGCCTCTATTCGGACAAAGGACACATGAAACTGGTTCACTTGGTGAATGAAGGCATTTACGACACAGCCAAGGACCTTCAGGGACATAAGGAACTCCATAACATTCCTAAAAATAAAAGTGGAACGAGTACTGGTGGTAAACATACTTTTAACTAAACGCATTACAATTCGCATGCTTGAACACTATTATATGGTATTATGATGTGGCATATTGTCCCTATATCTTAAAATATTTCAATACTTAATTTAAAGGAGTCAGGGGACGAGATGTCATTTTGTCATAATAAACCTAGTGACTATCCGCTATATGAGTATTTAGTAACGAGCCAGTTTGACAACTGTAAGTGGTTAATGAGATATGTATTTATTTATTCCATTAATGTTACAATCTTAATGTACTAAGATGTTTGGGACATGTGTTACATATTTCCAGCAACAGCCCCAGGAACCTGAGGGAAAAATAGAGTATGAACCTACTCTCAGTCACATACTTTCAATTCATTCATTTATATAAACACAAACATTGGTACAAAGAGGCACCAAGATATATGTGCACCACATAAAGTAAACATCATTCACTTTGTGTATGAACTGAGATACTGTCTGGGTGCCCAAACCAAAGCAGGCGGTTTCTTAGTGGGCCATTCCCTGAAACTTTGATCGAGAGGTCTAGTTCACAAGTAACACGTTTGAAAAAAGGTAGGGGAGGTTAAATCAAAAGGTGACATCAGTTCATAAAGTTATTGACTGCTAATTTGATCCATACTAGTGGGTGCACACTAACTGGTTGAGGACCAGGAGATTGTCATGATAAATGGTTGGAGACGACGAGTGGCATGATTCAGAATCAGCCACTGTAGTGCAAATATATCCTCTCTTTATTTGCTTAAAACGTAATTGGCATACTAACATGTTATTATGCATATTTATACGTTTCATTCCAAATAGTTAGTCAGTCAGTCAGCTACAACGTAGGACCAGGCACAATATATGCATCGGTCCAAGTTGCCATACCTCATTAACACAGCAAGATGAACACCGGATTCATAAAAGCAGTTAATTCAGTTGGGGTAATATGTAAAAGAAAGATTGCAATAAGGATATAGTACAGGAAGAAAGAATTAGTTCGTAGAAAGAAAGATATGAAGCGATTTTAATCTCTTAGTTTAAGGGAAGATAGAGAGTGTATACACCGACGCCATTGTGATCGATTCTGAGCCATGTCACACACAGTCTCCAACCATTCGTTACGACAGTCACGCGGACCCCAACCAAGTAGTCTGCATCTACCAACATGGCTCAGGCTAGAAGTTAGTGACTTCAAGCACTGATGCCACGTTTTGGTTTGGCCGCCCCTAACTTTCTTCCAACCATCCCGAACGCTGGTTAGTATTGCACGTCGTGGTAATCGGTGTTCAGGTATACGTAACACGTGGCCCAGCCATCTCAGTCGATGAAGATTCACAACCTCATCAACTGATTTACCATCATTCCCTAATACCCTGGGTCTAACCTCACTATTACTTACCCGGTGATCCCAGCAGACGCCAACAATATTTTTAAGGCATCTGTGCTCAAATACTAGTAGCTTACGAGTATCTTCTACTCTTAGTGGCCATGTTTCGCTGCCGTAAATTAAAACAGAACGGACTGCCGCGCAGTATACTCATCCTTTTATTGATAGACGGATATCTCTCCTTCACCACAGATGACGTAAGTTGGCAAAGGCCAAGCGAGCTTTTCGAATCCGTGCTGAGATTTCGTCAGACACCAACCCATTAGGGCTGATCAGACT